AGGCTCAGGGTGAGGCGGAGGCTGTGGAGCTGAGGTGGCCAGGCCAGGAGCGGCGCCGGCCAGAGTCCCCTCGTCACCCGCAACCCTCGCCTTCGGGTGTCTTAAAAGCTCATCTTTGTGATTTAGCCAGAATTCTAGGGGACGAAGCCCTCACTTCTGATTCTGGCTCTGCTGTGGCTAAACAGCGGGACCCTGTGCGGGTCACGTGGCCTGTGTGGGCGCCTCCGTCCCCGTCCCTAAGTGAGGAAGCCGGGGCCCACCTGACTTGGCTCACAGGGTGGCTATGGGCAGAGCAGGGCCGTGGGCGTGAGGATCCTTTGGGAGGCATGAGGGAGGTGCGTTTGGGTGCTCTGGGTGGTGCGTCCCAAACTCGGGCTGGATGAGGTCCCAGAGCGGGTGACGGGAACTCACTCGGTGCTCGGCGAGGGTGCAGAGTAACAGCCAGCTCTGCTGCCACCCCAGCCCCAGGGGCACCTGTGGCGGCCTTGTACCTCGGACACCCCCTCCCCGGGCCTCGACCCAGGCTCTCGCTCGTCCCCTCCGAGGCCGCCCTGCTTCCACCAGCCCGGACAGGGGCACCGCAAAGCCCACTTACCTCGCTTCAGGATCCGGCACGGGAAGCATCGGGGCAGGAGCAGAAGACAGAGTGTGAACAATGCATATTATACACACGGCCAAAGAACCACGGGCTTGGTGGGCGGGGAGGGAGCGGGCGGCAGAGCCCCAGAGAGGAATCTGGCATCGGGCAGGGGAGCTCGAGGGCCCCAGCGGGACAGGATAATAGCCATGGCCCTTCGGGCTGCGGGAGGCTCTCGCTGGGAGGCGCACCCTGCTGTAAGCGGGGAGGGCCGTGGGATCTGCAGTGAGAAGGCCCCACCCTGCTGAGGTAACCCCCAAAGCCTCGTGCGGCCATGGGCCCAGCGTTAAGTCCCGGCCCTGCACGACCGACAAAGTCTGGAATGGACAGGAAGTTCCTTCCAGGCCACCCGGGCACAAGGGCTCTGCTCAAAGGCGGGGAGGTGGGGATGCCAGGGATGCTGGGGACCCAGGCTCTCCGGGCTGGTTCTGTTCCAGGGTCCTCCTTCTGGGGCACTGCTGGGGAGCCGAGCAGACGGAGCCTCGGCTCTGGGGCTGAAATCTGCTGCGGGGGACTTGGGGGTGGGCTACTTACACTTCCGGCATGGTGGCGGGGGCAGCACCTGGGGGCACAGAGGGCTCATGAGTGGGGGCCCCCACCTCCATGGGGAAGAAGCCAGACAGGAGGGCCGGAGTGGCTCAGACACCCGTGTATCCCCCAGGGCACCCTTCGCCATGCCTGGCTGGTCACGAGGAGGGCTGAGGCTGGCACCCTGGGTGGGGCTGCGCGGGGGGCAGGCAGGCTGCGTGCCACCCCAAAGTCCATCCTGACCCTCTCCAGGCCAGCTCTCCTCTAAAGATCAGGGTCAGCGACGCGAGTTTCTACTCAGGCATTAACTCTGAACGCTTTGTTCACACCAAGCGATACTTGGAAGCAAAGCAAAATGGATCATCCAGCGTGGGCAACACGGCCAGGGGTGTGTAGGAGCCCCGGGCCCTGACCGGGTGCTCCTGGGCCCCTCAACCCCGACAGCTGGGGGCCGGTCCTCGAGGCCGCAGAGGGGGGCTTTCCAAGCTGGACCCGACTCCCCATCTTCCCTGGACACAGTGGGGCGGGGTGGGCAGCTGGGTAGAACAGGAGCCCTGAGTTGTGTTGCAAAGTGAAGGGCAGGGGACCAGTGGGGGTGGGAACAGGGTTAGGAGTTCGAGTTTGGCCGGAGAGCCTGGCTTGAAGCGAGGAGGGCAGACTCCAAGGGACGCTTGCAAGTGGCCACCAGCAGCGTCACTCCAGAGCCTCCTGCCCTGCCTGATGCTCGCCTCCCTCTGCGGCCAGCGAGTGTCTCCCCCACACCCCCTGCGTAGGCCAGGCCCCCACCCTGAGTCCCCCACCAGAAAGCCTCTGGGCCCCACCTCTACCCCCTCTGCCAGGAGGGTGCAGCTGGGGGGCACATGGGGTGACCCTGGAGTCTCAGCTGTCACCCTGGGCACAGAGGGGGAGGTGGGCGCCAATCCACCATAAATTCCTGAGATGCTCGGCTGAAATTAGATTGTGTGACCAGCTGTTTATTCTGAGGGTTGATCCTTCAGAGATACCGAGAAAGTCTGGGAAGAGACTGGCCGGTGCGGAGCCACCCCGGGTCCGTCCGTCGTCGTCACCCTCCACACTGCCAGGCCCCAGGGCCCCGAGTCTCAGCCCGGCCAGCCTCCTGTTTCCATCCCCACAGACACCTCACCCTTGATGGGCACGCAGCCATGCTCAGCACGGCCTCAGAGAGGCCCCCGTCACCAGGGAGGGGCCCACCAGAGAGGGACTGCCCAGGCCAGCCCAGGCCTGCTGCCAAGCCCCAGCGCCTGTCCCGCTGACGAACACCAGGCCAGGGGTCCGCAGTGTGTGCTGTGAAGCCCACCAGACGGGCCCCCTGACAGGTCCTGTGGGAGACAGGCCGCCTGATAAGGAGTCAGGATGTAGATTGCAGCAGAGGGGAGGTCGGAGGCCAGCATTCCAAACCCCCACAAGTGGCCGGCAAGGACATAGTCAGACGCCCGCAGCCAGAGGGACGGAGCTGGTATTGACGCAAAGCCGGGCTCGTCCGTCCTTGGGGCGCCGTGGGGAAAGCAGAGTGCCCGCGAGACAGTGGGACCGAGGCTGTGTGTGAGTGTGAGCGCGCACGTGCTCATGTGTGTGCGTGTGTGTGAGTGTGAGCGCGCACGTGCTCGTGTGTGTGTGCGTGTGTGTGAGTGTGAGCGCGCACGTGCTCGTGTGTGTGCGTGTGTGAGTGTGAGTGCGCACGTGCTCGTGTGTGTGTGCGCGTGTGTGAGTGTGAGCGCGCACGTGCTCGTGTGTGTGCGTGTGAGTGTGAGCGCACACGTGCTCGTGTGTGTGTGCGCATGTGTGAGTGTGAGCACGCACGTGCTCCTGTGTGTGTGCGTGTGTGTGAGTGTGAGCGTGCACGTGCTCGTGTGTGTGCGCACACACGTGCACCCAGGGAAGGAGCTGGCCTCTGAACACCTGATAATCAGGGACACGCATTTCAGGTTGGGCTCACGTCCTCCCCCTGCGCCCCACCCTGACCTTGGACCCAGTTCAAGGGCATTCCGGCCCTCCTTGACCGGCCATTTACAGGGGTTACACACACCACACCGCATCCTGAGCGCCGAGCAGGAAAGCCTAATCTCAGAGCTGCTGTCTCCGAACCTGGAGCACCCCCGTTAGGGACCCCCAGCACCACCTCTGCGGTGGAGCCCACTCCAGAAGCTGCAGGCACCCCTGTGTCCAGGCTGCAGCCACGAAGTCTGCCCCATCCGCCTCCTGTTCCCCAGTCAGAGCCGGGAGGCGGGGAGGGGCTGGCAGCCTGCCCTCACCTGCGCTTGGCCTGCTGTCCAGACATACAGCGAGCGGGCAGCTTGTCCGTACCCCAGAGACCAAGGAGAGGAGCTAGGAGGTGGTGAGCGGACCGGGGTCCAGTGCTCCAGGCCCCCGAGTCCTGCTCTCCAGAGGATTCTGTCTCCCGCCCGCTGGCGGCTGCCACCCTCCTCCCTACTGCCCACCAGGCTCTTTCTAAACTTGCACACACCCCCGTCCCCTCCCCCGGCCCTGTGATCACCATGGCTCCCTCTGCCCCAGGCCCCCTCTCCCTCCTGGGACCTGCTGGGTGGCCCGGTGTGAGGCCAGAACCCACTAGGCTCTGGCCTGGCTCCTGGAGTGACTTGTGCAAAGTTCTGCTCGTGGCTCTCAGCCTTCAGAGGGCAGGAGAGGTGTCACCCCATGGGACACACGCCGTGGAGGTGTTTGGGGACCATCCCACCCGCAAACCTGACTTTCAGGCGGGGAACAACTCCTTCCATCCCAAGCCCTCGCCTTCTCCTGCAATCCCCGCCCAGGGCCTCCATCTAGGCTCGACCCGGAGCTCAGGTCTGGTAGGTGGGCACCCACCTGGGCAGCGTCTGAGCTGGGCTGGCTGTGTCCTGCGGTCGGCTGCAGACTGTGGGGCCAGCACAGAGGGGAGGCTATGAAAGCTGTGGCCCGCAGCAACTGGCCAGTAAAAATAGAACAGGCCCGCAGCCCCTCCCGCTGCCCCCTCCCACCACACACGCCTCCCGGTGTGGACACGCCGGACACGCCGGGGCCGACACTTGAAGACCCGTGTGCGAGGCTGAGGGCACACAAAGCCTCGGCACACAGAGGCCGCCAACTGAGGAAAATTGGGGAGGCGAAGGGTGGGCCAGACCCCAGGGGCCAGGCAAGGTTGGGACTGGGCAGGGGACCAGGGTGAGCAGGGGCCACAGGGAGGCCAGCAGGGCTGGGAGAGGGGCACGTCTCAATGACATTCCATCTCTCACAAGGAAAGGTGGGCGTGGGGCCCCGAGCGGACGCTCAGCCATTCATGGAAGTCGGAGGGTCTGCGGTGGGGCTCTGTGCCCCCCCCAGCGGGGTTCCCGGCTCTGCCTAGCCTGGGCCCCGTGGGACGGACACTCCCCCCTCCCTCCCTGTGCCTCCGGCCACACACTGCAAGACCCTGGGGGCTGGTGCCACAGGGGCTGCACCTGTTTGCGGGATATTTTTAGGATGGTTAGTGAACACATAATACCCACCCTATAGTTAGAGAAAGACAATGCCTGCTATGTTGACCCCGTGGCTATTATTGTCGGCCACCTCACGGGCCAGGAGCCCAGGCTGGGCCAGGACACGCGGGACGCTGACCCCACCGCCAGAGGTCATGCACTCTGCTGGGTCCCCCGTTTGGTGGGGGAGAGAGCTGGCGAACAGGTGACCTGAGGAGACGCCCCACGGTGCTCAGGG